GTAACAATGAGTGTTTTGGGAAGCCAAAGCCTCAAACCAGGGCTCAGAAAAAAAAAAAAAATCTACACTGACTGTCCAGCCAGCAGCAGCTGAAATAGCCTGTTCTGGCATGGTGGTGAAGGGGTAATTGCAATAGCCTGAGCAGCTCTGTTCTGGTGTGAAAGCACTGAGAGTGATGGAGAAGCTGTCTCCTTCTGTGTTAGGAGAGGAACCACCACCCCAAGGAACCAGGAGCTACTGAGTCCTGTGTCTCACAGCAAGCTCTTTACCTCATTCTCTAGATGCACAAAGCTGTGCAGTGCTTTGCAAAGCTCACATTAAGATGCAACGACCTTACATTGGCTGTACATATCTATCATGTTATGTATTTGAACAAATACGTGTGCTTTGAACAAATGTCATCCACCATATCTAACCTTCCCACCTACAAACACCTGCTTAGAGAATCAGCCACCACAATTTCAGTATCTCCACACTGTTGCAGTCATGATGAAAAAAAACATGTAAAGAAGCAAAAATTTTGAGAAATAGCACGGTTCATTTTACCACTAAGACAGTAACAACACTCATAAACCACCACCACTAGCGGCAAAGAGGGGAAAAAAAGGGCAACTGCAAAGCAGCTGGTGTTGAAATACCTGCTGTATTTCAGCACTTCTGTAAACAGGTGGATGAAGTATTCGGGATTCTGTCCTAACAGCACCACCTTCTGGTGACCGCACTAAAAAAAGCCCCAGACAAATCTGCCAAACCAATTTCTAAATAATGCTCAGCAAGTCAGGTCACTTTGTAATCCCTCCTCCTCTCTATCCTCCACCCTCCAATTCCAAGGATGCCATTCCAACTTAGAGTACATCTCTCATCGCCCCCAAACTGCAGTGATCCTTACTGACACGTGTTTGCAATCACCTGACACCTACACTCCAGAAATCTTGGCACAGGCTTGAGATGAAGCACTGCAGCAGTTCCAAACCACTGCTCTGGCACAGCAGCACTGAAGACAGAATTAGTTACTGCTCTTGTGTGTCTTACTGTTCATTATAACACAAGCTCAGTTTTGTCTTCATTACAATCAAACAATGACAGAATGAGTTACTGCTCCTTCCTCATTATCATAGTTGCTTCAAGCATCAAACAAGAGCAAAACCTAACTTCACATGCAGGAAGGTAAGTTATCACTTTAGCACAGTTTAAAATATTTCACTACAGTCCTCTGCACACATCTGAAAATTTAAATGTTACTGAATGCTGCACACAAGTTACGAAAAGCAAATAGGCTCCACTAAAGCATGGACACCAGCAGCTACTGACCTTTCATGGAGCACAACCAGCAGAATGAAAAGTTCAAAGAGCAAGAGCTCATGAGTACTGAGAGGTAAACACAGATAACTGACAGAGATATGTGACTTTGTATACAGCAAAGTCAGCAAATGTGCTCAGCAGTAAAACAATCTTTATTGTTTCCCTTCCCATTGCAAAGTCAGACCGTCTGGGACAACTTTCTGGCACAGAGGAATCATCAGCATCCATTTGGAAAGTGGATAAGCTTAGCTAGTCTTCAAATTTTACAGCACCAGATGCTTCTGAAGAAAGTCTACGAGGAACTGTTGTGTAAGGCAGATCTTCCCAGTTAGGTTTTACACTTAAGAGCCAGTCACCGCCTATAAACTTACCCTACACATGTAGGAAAAGTAGATTATGTAAAACAAACAAACACATAGACAAACCAAAACAAACACCCGTGGCAAGAGAAAACACCTTGTTCCAACCAACATGACGTGTGCAGGCAAGTACTGAGTCAAGCTGTAGTTACTGGAAAAGAAGTTCAATTCCTACATTTGGTTCATCAGCAATGCTGTGTAGCATGTAAAATAACACTTTAGAAATCAGAAAGGCAAGGACTGCTATTAACTCTCTGCCAATTAACTGTGTCTTATTTCCAGCTGCTGCCGATCCCGTCAGTACGGTACCTGGAAGTTTGGAAAGAGGAACCTGGTGTAATGAACATATGCTCCATGAACGCTTAGATACTATTGAAGAGGTAAGAGGGATTGTGCTGGCTCCTGAACCTTACCAGACTTCTGCCCTATCCTTTTGACCAAAGAAAAAGGATGTTTCTAGACAGTGTCGCTTTTGGACTTTATTCTAGTCAAGGTTGGACTACTTTTTTCAGATGTCACAGTTTAAAACTAGCCATAAAGCCATTATCACCAGAAATATATAATCTTGATGAATTCCCAAAAACTGAGTAACAATTTATTATATATCAGTCTTTTCTAGAATATTTATAATCAAAACATTATAATCTGTGACTTTAATCTAAAAATCTCACAATCTGTATTTGTAAAGCTTCACAATGGCTTATAAGTAGATGTGAGTTCTGAAGGTGACCCCAACACTGACAGAGGAGTTTCTGCTCACCCCTGCTGACACTTAAGAGCTAAATGAGCTCTGTGATGGGGATTCCAGGATAGCTGCAAAGTTTGATTTTTTTTTTTCTCCCCCTGGTGTCTTAAGCACTTACAAGATAGCTGCTAACTCAGCTTAACTAACCTGTTATTTCTCAGCTGGGTAGCTCCCAAACATGCTGTGGTTGTCAAACTGCAACATTACTTCTCTTCTGCTCTAGTCCCAGCCCTCATCTTTCCACCCCAGCAGCTCTTCTCATCGTCCATGCAGATTATTTTATCGCATTTCTCTCAGAAATGATAAAGAATTAAAAACAAACAAATGCAAAGCTCCAAGAAGTCAAATTCTTCTTTATACAGGGCTGCTGTAATGTAACTTGCAAAACCAAGCGCACTACCTGGTGCCACTAGAGGCCAGCAGAACACAAGGAATGTTTAAAGCTGCAATGCGCATTACAGATTAAATTAGCTGTTGGCATTACAGGACACGAGGTTTACATTTCCGCAAACACATCTGGTGCAATTCCTTCCACTTGATCCTTTGACTACCTCCTTTCTCCATTTGTCTCCCTTGTTTCCATCAGAAGGTAATAAAAACAGTGGAGCACCTAGAATCAGAAGTCAAATCGCTCCTCAACATCATCAGTGAGACAACACTGAATATCCCCACTGTTCCAGGAACTCCACTTATAGACGTTTTTGATGGTCAGTATCTCGTCAGGTATAACCTAAGTCGAAAAAAGGGTTACATATGTTATTATTAAATATGCCATATTTTCTCTCTAAAGATGTGAACTAATTCAGCTCAGGGTAGCTAAGGCCTCAAGACCCCAACTGCAGGTCCAGTTTGGAAAATCAGATTTCAACAACCAGTAAAGAGAGAGCTGGGAGAAAAGGAAGCAACTCACCTTAGAACAGCAGGACAGACTAGGTTACCTCAAGGTCCCTTCCAGATTTAAGATCCTTGATTCTTTAGCTTCATGTGTGACAAAATAAGGGATGACATTAAAATTTTACAAAATTGGAGGTATTACCATTTTGATATCCTAAATCCAACTTTGAAATGTAAACTACTCACACAAAACATCCTCATGGATAAACGTTTTTGGAATAAATTAAACCACAACAGAAATTAGTTGGATGAGACAGCCTGTTCTACTCACTTATATCTTATAATGCTCTATACCCTTCATCCTCTGCCTAAATTTCAACAGTGCATTTAACAAGGTGAGACACTGTTGGTGGAAAATAAACCACTTGTGGACAGATAAAAGCATGCACAGACATGTTTATGAATCAGTTTTGTCAGTGCTGTTCGTTCATTTAAGGTAGCAATACCTGGGCACACCACAGTGCACTTACATGATGCAAGTAGGGCTTGAAGTAGACAGCAGTAGTGTTTATGCTGTTTTTTCATTCTTGCAGTCGGCTGTATGGATCTGGTAACCATGACTGACACTGTCCTCATCAGCTTTGTTATCCACTGAAGTTTACAGTTTTCTGTGAGGGGCAGTTAACAGGCAGTTAATAACTAAGTTACTCCCCTGCGATGGAAGTGGGTATTCCAGCAGGAGTGAAAAGTATTCCAGTACAGCACTGCCAAATTGCTCAAGAATTACAGATTGGACCTTCCTTCTATGATTTTGTGAATCAAAGTGACAATTCCCAACTTTAAAGTAGCAAGATTCATGTTGTAAAAGAGATTCATCCTCAAAGATTGATCTTGATCTCATAACCAAAAGTAATCACATCAACTCTTCTCTATACAGATACCAGCTGAGCACTGTGAAGACAGAAGACAGCTGAATGTAACAGTATGGTTGTCATAAGCAGTTGCACTTCTGATCATTTAATAAGCTTGTGTTTCCAGAATTCGTGCAGGGTGAACAATCCTCAGCTGTAGTTTGTCTTCTGTGTTGCTGTGCTTTATAATAAAAAGATATTTGCTTTCAAATTCACTGTAGTATTGCAATACGAACCGCAACAAGACACAGCTTTAAACTTTGCATTCTGAATCTTTCAGGAGCCCTACTTTGTCAAAACAGTGTTTCAAATACAGCATTGTCAGTAAGAAAACAAGATCAGGTGGTGTTCAGGAATAAAGCACATCTAACAAACTTCCCTTCATTCAAAAGCTTCCTCCTTCCCTTGCAAAGAAGTGAACTCTTGCTATTGGTGTCAGCCAACAAAGATAAGACTTCCAGCTGCAAATTCCTCTCAAGACATGCTCAGATTGTCTGACAGAAATAAGTGTATAGTCTGCCTTTGGACACAGGACACACTGCTGCCAATGACCAAAATGGGAGTCCTGTCAGCAAGTCCCAGTCAGAATCCATCATTTGGACACACAGCTACCATAGTCTGTAATCTTCCCTTGCCATGGTGACAAATGCAATCCAGAATTAAATCCACAACATTGCCTTTTTCTTTCAAGACAATAGCAATACAACTTCTAGGAAAAAGGACCTGCCTGACCCTTACACAACAGAGGGAGAACACTTACATGTATATACTTCAGTAAGGGGAGTTTGCATGTTCCTGATTAACAAGCAACCTATTTTCACTGACCTAGTTTGAAAACCTTTCCCCCACTTTGTACTTTTTACCTTTACATGCTTTTATTTGAGAACAACAGGCTGAAGAGACATCATCCATGCCAGCAGGGAATAAAAACTCAGAGTTCCAAGAGTAAGACAAATTACAACATGCAAAATGAAAGTACTGAGGAATAACTACAGATTACATGTCTCATGTACAGACAATTGCTTATCAACAGCACACAACTTCCAAACTCTAATCAAAACAACAATTTCTGAATAATCCTGTGGAAGAGAACTTCTATAGAAAAACTAAGTTACATAAACTGAGTTATCACTCACGTACATCAATATGAACACCAAAAGGCACAGTCTGCAAAGACGTAGCTTTAATTTCATAAACTCTTGTTACATATATATATATATATATATATATTTAAGGCACAATCCAAAACCTTTTAATATTAATGACAGAATCTTTACTACTGCTATAGAAAAACTAAGTTACATAAACTGAGTTATCACTCACGTACATCAATATGAACACCAAAAGGCACAGTCTGCAAAGACGTAGCTTTAATTTCAGAAACTCTTCTTACATATATATATATATATATTTTTAAGGCACAATCCAAAACCTTTTAACATTAATGACAGAATCTTTACTACTGTCAACATTACTCCTGCCTTCTGACAGTCTGCCTTAGCAAGAATCAAGGTAAAAAAACAGAACTTGACAAAACTTCTTTAAAGCAGTCTTAACTAGACACAAAACCTCAAGGCTGCTGTCTCCACATATCAGGAAGTGGGCTAGCCCAAAGCCAACTCTGCATACAACAGATCTAAAACTTGCATTAAAATGACACTCAATGTTTATACAAAATCATACAACGGTGATTTTTGTTTCATTAAACAAACATTATTTCAACATGATATAAGCAGAAAAGAAATAATGACCATTCATGGATTGCTGAGGGTACTATACAGAATCCTGAGCAGATGGCACATATGCTTGGTGTTTTGGGGGGCTTGGCATTTATTACCTACTACCTTTGAACTGAAGATATATGCAGTATTATATTTTAAATGCAATTGCTTTAGAAGAAACTCATTACATATTTACTTATGGAGACAAAAGATGCTTTGCAGCAAGTACATGAAAAGAGCAGCTTTTTTAAGAAAAGCTCAATGCTCCATTTAGTCATTTCCACCACACAACTTGAGTAGGATTTTCCGGTAGTCTCCTGAAGTATCACCCTGAAAAGGAACCCAGAAAAAGAAAAGTTGAAGAACAACCAAAAGAGATTAAGCTACAGATGAAAAACTAAGAACTTTCTTTCCAGGGACATTTTTGGCTCTACTTTTACAGAAATAAGCAGCAGAGCTTACATATACCTAACTGTGGATATGCACACCCCATATTTACTGAAGCCATGTTTTGACCAAATTCAGTCCATTAAATAGATATGGCCTGTTCTGCTTCTGAATGATAAATTATAATGCCAGATCAAAAGAAGAACAAGGGGAAGAAGCAATACAGAGCTTTTTCACCAATGTCTCACTGCTTTTTACTATACACTGTTGGTTACAGGGCATGCAACTACTGTAGAAGAAACATTTGGAACATGCTATCCTCCAGAATCTCTACAGGATTCTTTCCAAACACCACCAAGTTACAGCCCCTCAGTGTCCACAGCAGAAGGAATAAACAGGAGCTTAACAGGTTTGGCACCCTCATTACAAGGTAAATGAAAGTGGCACCACTCACTCTCCCCAGTTCTTACTGGCCAGGCATCCTCTGGGCTGTTGGTACAGCTCTTAATAGCAGTAGGAGGGTGGATCAACTGCTAATAAATCTGAAGTTTAGTCTATTTGCAAAGTCTTGTACTTTCAAGAGAAAGAGGGGGCAATCCTTTAGAAGATTTTTAGAAGCTTTATATTCTTCCAACACACAAATGAAGTAGAGCACCACTGTTACTCAACTGGAGGACTGAGTGGTTCCCACAAGATCATACAAGGAGATTGGGACAGAGGGGCCTCAGAAACCCCTCTGGACCCATTTCCTTTTCCTTCCCTGCCTGTTAGCTTCCTCCCCATCTCTAGCTCATCAAACCCCCATGCAAACCCAAGCGCACTCCATCCTCTGGCCCTCAGCCTCCATGCTCCTGGCAAATGCAGCAATCCAACTCAGCCAGCCACACTGAGTGCAGCTAACAGCTGCTCAGCACAAGGAGCAGTGTGCTGCCAGCGTAAGGGGTGTCATGGCAGGGCACGTAAGGTCTCCAGGGCTTACAGTGATATCTGTGTAGAGGGATCTGCCATACATCCGCTTGTACTCTGCACGTATGTCCAGCAGGTCAACCTCGCTGCGCGATACCATGATCCGGATCAGCGTCCTGTCCTTTGTTCCTGCTCCCTGAAACAAGCACAGCAGCAGCATAATGTACTGGAAAGTGTATGATATAGCACCAGTAAAAAAATTAAATGCCTGTTTACTAGCATAACCCCACTGACTTAATAAGCTTGAACAGAATTTAGCCTATCATTTCACTGCACAAGAACAGCTCAAAAAAAAGAAGGGGATTGACAGAGATACAGGGGAGGTCAGGAAAATTTGGTGAGTTAAATGGCCTACTTATTTATTTCTGCTAGAATTACCTACTTAATTTTGTATCAATTAGTACCAATTTCAATGAGTTTTAAGCATATTTGTGTTTCACCAAGTGAAGATTATTGTTTAATGCATGGTTATATTCATTGCTCTGTTAAGTTGGATCAAACTAGCTAGATTTTTCCAGCCTTTCACAATAATGACTGCATCATGACTGTTAGTCATCTGCCCACTGAAAAACGTAATCCCTTCAGCTGCACAGTTCCTTCCCAAGAGCTGTACAACAAGCATTTAAAAAACTCCACACTATAAGTTTATGTAATTTGTCACAGACACCTACCTTCATTGCTTTGTGTAATCTCTCTGCAAAAAAAGCTGGTGTGTTCTTGAGACACTTAACTGCAAAAAGGAACAGAGGAACAGTATTACAGAAATAAGGCATTCCTCCTCAATCAGAAGTCAGTAATTTTTTGAGTTTATCCAACACAGTCACATGCTTGAATTTTACATAAACATACACTTGATACAGTGCAGCTTCCACTCCTTCCATTAGTCACTGAAATTATTTTTAATCCAAACAGTAGCTGCAATACAGTTAAAGAACCTACACTGCATGGCTCAAAGCAAACATTTCTGTCACTAGAAACCACCTAGTGTGAAGCAGCCATAATGAACCTTTGAATTCTAATGACCAGATTTTTGTCTGTGAAGGGAAAAGAGGTGATGAGGAGCAGGCAGAAGACTTGAAATAATACATAGGTAGTGGTGCTCCTGGGTTCTTAATTCTAAATTTTTAGGCCATGCATCTGCAAGGTGTGACAAATTCAAGTCCTGCCCTAGTACAAATTAGGAAACCGCCTATGACAGCAGAGACTCTTAGGTGGTTCCTTCTCCTTAAGGGTAAGTCATCACAACCCTTATTTTAAAGCCTTATTTTAGCCACAAAGTTCATCAGGACTCCTGAAAAATTTTTAACATGCTCATTTAGTAATGACTGGATGCTATATTTAATTAGCATAGTTCATCAGAAATCTGAAAGAGCAAAATCCAAGTCAAATTACTGTCATGTTAATCAGGATCATGAAAGAACCCTCCATCACTGATCAGAATTAAAATCTATATATTGATGCAACGTTGTTTCAAGTAAACAATCATGCAAACTGTTGCAAACTACAGAGGAAACACACCGCACTTGACATTTAATAGCACAGTAAGGTATCAAAATCAATCAGACAGAATCAATACAGAACTAAAGGTGTAAACCCAAACATGTTTTTCATAGCAACACACACTCTGTATAGGAAGAAGTACTTTTCTCAGTAGGAAAATGTAGATGAGAGATAGCAGTTCACCACAAAACTGTCAATGATATGTACAATACTATTCAAAAAATGAATGACAAAATGAAATGCATGTTTCTGTATCACTCTATGTAGCTAACACAACACACCTGCATTCTAAGATGTTTAAAGATATTGTTGTAAGTTACCAGTTGTACAATCCAGAAAGCTTTAAAGAAAGCAAAATTAAATATTTTCAATTAGAAACCCCTTTTTTTCCTGCAAGTAAGGTCCACAGAACAAATGACATTAATTTACTGATACAGATAATGTGTACATACATATAAACAAAAAACCCACAAAATATATTTAATAGAGGGAGTTATTCAGTGAATATTAATGACAAGACTTGTTCAAAAGGCTATTGACTTGCATGCCAGCTACAGCCTCAGTTTTGAATCTGGGCCTACATGGAGACCTCTCAAGTCACTATGAAGCTCCATAAAGTCAAATGCCTTCTAAATGCTGAGTGGTTTCTTTACCAAGGCAATGTTGTTCTACAAACAGAGAAATATCTTTTCCCCAACCCTGGTTTTCTAACAATAGTTTCTGAAGTGACAAAGATTGAATCCTGGAAAAGGTTTGCAAAACAATCAGACACAATAAGCTAGATCCAGTTTGTGTCATTAGAAGATCAGTACAACGACAGTGTGGCCAAGCAGAATAAGAACAATAGTTACATAGTTCGCACATGCACAAGACAGGAGTGAAAAAATGAGGCTTTTAAAATTGATTTTCATTTTGCCAAGATTTTGTTACAAACTTCAGTGAAAAAAATCTGTTGTGGTTGAACCAAATACCCTCTCCTATCTCATTTCCAAGTGATGCAAAGTCCATTTTTCCTATTTTGGTAAGAGTTTTTGGGTTTGGTTACATTACTACCATATTCAAAACCAAAGAACAACATTTTTAAAGCAGAGCTCTAGATACCACAGTATATTTACAGTAAAAAACAGAAAAAGAAATTGAGATGTAAAGACAAAAGACAGCGAAGTGTTTCACAGTTATATCTATAATAAAGCATTTTAAATAAAACTACTGCACAGCAACTTGTCCCAACTCCATGGAAACAAATTACTGCTTCTGAAGAGACAACAGTAGACCTGAGGCAAGAGTTCTCACTCCTCAGAAGTACTGGGAGCAATTAAAAACAAAGATTCAATAAAATTGTAGCCACAGGAAATGTGGGAAAACCAACCCCCTTTGCAACGAAATTTAAGTTCTCTTTCTACTAAATAGAGGTAGAAGTAACTAGTTAGAGGGTCAATGTCTGTATTTTAATTAATACTGGATTTCCAAAATTGTCCCAACTACTCCCTTCTCAACAACCCCCTTTGCAATGAAATTTAAGTTCTCTTTCTACTAGTTAGAGGGTTAATGTCTGTATTTTAATTAATACTGGATTTCCAAAATTGTCCCAACTACTCCCTTCTCACTGACCCAGGAGTTGGTAAAGTTCACTTCCTAAAACAGTGTCAATTGTAGTTAATAATTCTCTCCCCATTTTGACATGTAAAATTAAAATTCTGCAGCTGCCTGAAATAAAAAAGCTTCATCTGTCATTTTGAGGTGAATTAAGTGCGCCACTTACTAATCACAAATGGCTTCACAGAAAGCTCAACATAAAAAGCAAAAAACTGGAATTACCACTAGTAAGAACATGCTTAGCTGAAGGCAGCTGTAGCAGAATGGCAGGAATGAACTTGCTAGGGTGGCACATACCTACTGCCAGCATGCCCATCTCCAGGTCTCCAGACATCTCACGGCATATGCTGCTTTCGATGTCCCGGTTACACATCCTCTGGTACTCGCTGAAGACTGTAAATGGAAAAGAAAGATTCCAGTTCTACAGCAAGAGGTGGCACTGGAATGTGCTGGATGGCTTCATTTCAGTGGCACTTCTCAGCTGGATACTACAGTGTACTCATGCTAGTTTGAACATCTCAAGGATTAATACTGTGTTATCAACCATTTACATGTTATCATGCTCCTTCTAGCTTGCCTAGATGTGTCCTTTTTATTAAAGGGCTAGACCAAGAAAGCACAGCAATTTTTTAGGAAAGCTTCAGGTCTCAATAAAGTTAAGAAGAAAATATTCTGGTTCTCATACACACCCCTTTCCTTCATATAAGTACCCTGCATCCCAATAGCACAAAGTGAAAGTTTACGTAGTTACTAAAACATTTCCACCACGACAGACTGATGTAGCACCTTACATTGGCAAGTAAAAGGGGAAGGCTTTTAAGTGTCTTGCACACTCAAGTATGCAAGACTGAAACAATTCTAGTTTTTCAATTCTTTAATCAGAGGATCATTTGAACAAGTATGACCTCTACCTGTTCTGATATCTAAGAAAGGTGACTCTTGCTTTTCCTCAGCAGAATTCACCCTTCTTTTCTTTGCTATCTTGTTTGGCTCATTTTACAGATGGAGGAAATTCAAGCACAGAGCAGTGCTGTACATTTTTACCATTACACACAACAGAATCAAGTTACAGTTTACACAGGACATCATTACCTGCTCTAAGGTGAGCCCTGCTTCTTGCACACAGAATGGCATTGAATTTGGATTCATCAGTTCCTAGACGGTTCTCTCCAGCTGCATACAACTCCTAAGCACAGAAGGGAATTCACACTTCATTACTCAGAAAAGTAGTCAGGCTGAACAGCTGAGTTGCAAATTTGCTTCCTTGCAGCCTCTCCTCCTTTTTACTTATTTCTTAGCCTACATACTACTGCAAAACAGGAGCAAGCAATAAACAGCAACTAGTTCTCATCTTCCTATAATATGCTATGCTTGCAGTCTTTCCAGCTTGTTGATGCAGAAGTGCTCCAACACAAGAGCTCTGGATTACTAAAGAGGGGACATTGTTCAAGAAGTACCTGAAATTTGTTCTTCCTAACAGTCCTTACATCTAGCTTGTCTTCTACAATTCTAGGTGTGCTCTGGGACGTTCTTGTGTTGGCTAAGGCACACTATGTAGAAAGCTAATGACACTGCTATTTAAATGACACTAGTATGGCTAAAACAATCCAGGTTTTTCCCTTAGCTATGTAGTGAAATGGAACACAGAGAAAAAGAAATGGGGCAAGCACTATAAAGTCCAAGTGCATTATTTACTGCAAAACTCCAGACTTCCTTAAACAACACTCAGACTAATGCAGGTGTTGAATAGTTTAAAATTTAATCCACACACATATCACCTCAAATCTCTTTGGACAATTTCCTTAGAAAGTAGCACAATCCAACACTCGGAAAAGCCAAAGACCTGACAGAATGAGAGATAAAACATCCTATGAACTGTAGTGCCAAGAGCTTCATCTCTGTACTGCACCTACATGGCTCTAAGGCTGTCACAGCTTTTTATATCTCTTCCATCCACTTAAAGATAAGCACTGCACCAGAAATCATCACAAGGTGTCCAAAACTAACAGTAAGCAGAATCCACACAGCCAAATTTCAGTGTATTGAATTGACTATTCTTAGAAATGATGAAGCATTTCTACTGACCTGTACATCTCTTTGGACAACAGACATGTCAACATTTGTACTTTCATCTCTGTTTCCCTGAAAGAATTGGAAGATCAAGAAGTATTACTGGTGGGCTTTGATGGGCTGCCTTTTTTTGAAATTTTTTTGAAAAAAAAACCACAAAATCCACACCACCTACAAACATACAACAAATTCCAAAATCCCAGCAGGCAAGTACCTGAGCAAGTGAAATTAAAAGCCTCTGAAAGTGTCCAGACGTGTCACTTTTTATTGCTTCCTCCAGAGTTTTTTTATATTCTGGAAAAGAGATAGTTATGAATCCTCACACAGCCCTGCTCATTTCCTAAATTCTTATTATCAGTCAGTGACTGAGAAAGAAAAGGAAGATTTTGATGCAACAGAACAAACCTGCTTTATAGACCCTGTTGAGTTCCTGAATATGCTCATTACTGCGGGAAGCTAAGATTTCAATGAGACAATTTTCATCTGTGCCAACACCCTAAAACAAAGAAGAAATGCTTCAGATTCTTGATTTCTACAACCTAGTACAAAAGAAATGTAACAAAATTATATAGGAAAAATTCAGAATACAACCTTGTATAGGAAGTCAAAGCAAGTAATCCCAAATAAATCCAAACTTTTAAATGGCAACCAAGTATTTTATCAGCTCAACTACTTCCTCTAGGTTATAAATTTCTATCTCCTACACAAACCTTTATAGCTTCCTTGATTTCATAAGCATCAAACATGACAGGTGTCTTCATCATTGCCAAGATTGTCCTCTCAAAGTTACCTGAGAGCTCAGACTTGAGATCCTTGATCAAATCCTAATGAGAAGGAAAAACAAGGAAAAATTGCATAAAGATCAAACTTGACAAAAGCAAGCACCAAAAATATGCATTTTACTAAGAATTCTTTATGCATAAGCACCAGTAATGTATGCTCAAAGTACAGCTAATCCACTTAACACTAAACACCACATAATGGTATGTGTACACTGAGGCCATTAAGGTCCAATCAAATAGACTGCACAGATCCAAGAGTCAAAGTAACCATTTAGCATAGAAACTGCTTTACATGTTTCATCAGCAACACTGCATGAAGAAGTCAAGTGTGGATAAAAAGCAGACCTCTGAACTGGTTATGTCCTAAGAACCATCTTCCCCTAAAGCACCTTCCAATCTTTTTTCCCCAACACTAAGTCTTCTGACTGCCACTGAAAGGATGCAGGCTCTCATTTCTTCTTCCTTCTGTTCTCACAATGTACTTACCTTTCCATAAGCTGTTTTAAAGGACAGGATTATCTGCTGCCTTTGCTTGTTTGAACGACTTCCAAGACAATCGATGATCGCCTGCTCATCGGTTCCTGTATGCGCACACAGACACCACAGAATGAGCGAGCATCACCTCACGTGAGGATTCAGCTTTCTGTCTCTATTTCATCCTGTTCTAAACCCAGCAGAAGGACATGAATGCCTTGAATTCATCTACAGTATCTACTCTTGTGTACAACCACAGAACTTCGAGTTCACTAACACAGTAAGAATACAAAGAAAACCTAAACCAAACTCATGATATTGTTTATGCTCACATGAACTTCCAGTAATACTTCTGGATAACCAAGGACTCGGTACACACTCAGTCCCACTCAGTACACACATAGCAATAGAAAAATATCAGTGCTGAATGGAGATGCAATTCTACTTTTAACTGAAATGTAAGTCCTCAGACTGCTCACCAAATCCTTTCATGGCCTTCCTTAAGACTTCTGCATCCTTCAGAGGGTCAAAGCCCGGTGCATCAGTGATTGTACCTCGGTTTCTGTGCTAAAATGAGGTCAACAGTGTTAAACAACAGTAGTGTTAACAGCATGTTAGTGTCAAATAGTGAAATACTGTGGTTTACTACTTAAGAAAGATGATCAGTTTTCTTTTTGTGAGGAAAAGTAATAAAGAAAACTCAAACCAACTCTGCCTTAAGCAATTTGTTAATTTCTAGAAAGAAAATGCAAGATCAAGGCTTCCTGACGTTAAATCTGCTCTTCAATTAATTAAGGTTTGATGATACTGTATATACAACTGGCAATACTTGCTAAAATTAGGAAAGGCAAGATTAATTAATTTGAATTCATATCAAACCTTTTTTCTTGGATACCATGGTAAAATGTAATTTCTTTCAAGGCATATGAGCCTATACTGCTTGCATTTGATAAGGTTCCATCTCTCTCTTTACTCAAACTTCTTCTCATAACTTTCTTTTCAATTTTGTGATTGGTTTACACTAATACACACAAAGAAAACGCAGAGGAACGTATATACAGTCACAGCTCAGAAGAAAAGCAGTGAATGCTCTTACTGTTCCAGGAGTGACTGCAGGCCCTGTAGTTCCTGAGTAAGAGGGCATAGACGGGTTCACAGCTGGACCTGCTGGATAACTTGACATGGGCTGCTGCCCTGGGTGAGTTGCTGGAAGTCCTGGATAGCCCATAGGCTGCTGACCAGGCGGTGGCATGGGCTGGCCTGGCACAGGGCCGCCCGCGTACCCTGGGTAGGATGGCATTCCGGATGGGGGATTTCCTCCAGGTGGAGCGTACCCTCCGTAAGAGGGCTGTTGTCCTGGTGGGGGTTGCCCAAAGCCACCTGGAGGAACTGGTGGATAACCCCCAGGTGTGGAAGGATACATGCTTTGTGGTAAATTTGTCCCTCCAAAGGTCCCTGCCAGGTTGGATGCCTGCAATGACAGCAATAAAACAAGAGACAGGAAGGAGCACAAACAGCTGAGTTTCAGTAACATGCTTAATGCAATACAACCTCCCTCCCCACCAAGACAGACAGATAGCTCTTTATCTGCAGAAGATAGCAAGCAGGATGGAAAAACCTGCCTAAACCTTTACACCAAATAATCCTTTCTTTGCCCATGGCTGCCTTGTGTGATAAACAAGGGTGCACCTGGATGCAAGGACTTTAAGCAACCTTTGGCTGTTTTACCATGTGTTAGTAGTTGACAACTAGTAGGAGTTCCTGGACTACATTTGGAAAGACTTCTGCAGAAACTGAAATGAAGATATTCCACTCCACATCAAAATCTTATCACTGAAACCCCTCTTCTAGAGAGAAACCACAAATGACATTGGATGACTGCAGCACTGTCAAAAACTAGTTGCTGTGGATATTGCCTCGTGCATCCTAGATAGCTTGTTGTTCAATTTGCCTGATGGCTGCCAAATCACTTCATTTAATCATTGCCGCAGAAAAACATCTATAATGCAAATATCTTCCTACAAACTGCATTCGTTATGCAGCATAACAGATTTCTGAAGACCAAAGTTGTCAGAAGTGTCACTCACTTCTACTCTATGAAAAAAAATCACATTGGAAACGTCGACATTTTCTTCAGTGAATATGAAAGGTTTTTACTTCCATCTGTTAAACATCAGTGTTTGTAAGAGACTGTTGATTCCATATTCTTTTCTAGGACGAATCATTGATACCTCTAATTATACAGCTTTTTTCCTTACTCTGACTAGTTAAAATCTAGGTAATAGGCAAAATCCAGACTGTGTTTGCCCACGTGAATATATTAACAGTGGTTACTCTGTGTTAATAGTTCCCTATTCCTCTACACAGCAAATGCCAAGTTATATCAGTTTTATGTCCACAACTTCTGAAGTTAGACTGTTAACATTTAACTACTGCTCTGTTTTCCTAAAATAAGAAATAGCTTGCAGTAACCATTTTCCTCAATAGGCAATATTGAATGCTCAACACCTAAACAGATTACACATAAAGGCACAGAATTCAAGTGATGAATCTCTCAGTGACAATTCCAGAAGCACAACTTTGCCCTTAAGGACATCACAGCAGAACACATGAAATGAAAGCAAACTCACCATTCCAGCCATGTGGCTGGGATTGAACTGGTTGGCATAGCCAGCCACATTTTCCAGACCAATTGGAGGTGGATTTGAAGGTGGATAGGCAGCACCACCCCAAGGACTGCTACCTGAAATCAAACACAGATGTGCTGAAACAAGAAACTATGCCTTTCTAAAGTTCTTACTACTTAAATTTCTAATGTAATGTATTTTCAACACTACCAGGGAAATCAGCTGAAGAGGTGCACGGTAGCAGTGCAATTACTATAAAGAGAAGTCTCACTGGGTATTTCTAATCATGTTAGTTATCACTGAATCTATAAGTTCTCACTTAAAACAACTCTAAACCTATTTGAAGGTTAACAATCAAGACTATTAACACCATGTTTTGATTTGAGAGAACCTAAAGTACAAAGTTGTCTGGGTATTCCAGTAGGAAGATGATATTAATTCCACTTACTTGGCTAATTTGAGAGGTGTCCACAGAGCACAACAGCACATTTACAGGTACCAAAGTCATAAAACCTGTCTGCACACAGCAGTATAGCCTTAAGACAGAATACTCTGCTGAGAAATAGGCTTTACCCTCCTGGCCAGTTGGGCTTCTCACTGTACAGTGCTTCCCCATCCTGAGCTAGCCTGCCTAATGCCACATTTCACCATACCTGCATGATTCCAGTCCTTTCTTTCTACCTTACAACACTAACAACTGTAAAGTTCAGCTTGATAACCGAGCAGTGGTTGAGTATTTCATCAGCTTTATGTTATTATTAATTGCTACCCTTTTTAACAGTACACAACCACCTGCCTAAGAATAGTGAATTAAGGATAATTTCCTATTTCTTTGGGGGATATGGTTTTAAGATCTATGAATGATTTCTCCCCATATTTATTTGTCTCACTATCCACCTTGAAGATCCCGTATCAACCGGGCATTGATCCTTGTCATTTATTGGATTTGGTCAAGTTAAGACCATCTCCTAATGCTCTGTGCTTTATTTGAGATGAATGAAACCGGACATTACCACATGAGCACATGGCAGAACACACACATTAGACAAATCAGAATCCCCAGCCCAAATAAAACAAGATTTAACAAGCAAGTACAGAAAGCTTTGGGGAGTCAAGGAAACCCTCCACAGTCTTGTTCTTCATCCATCTTCATGTTTCCTCTCCAGACAGGACCACCACTGCATTTAATGTTTACTTCATATGAACTTACCTGGGGCAGCTGGTGGGTATCCACCCGCTGGGGGATAGCCCGGGTAACTCATTGCAAAGATCTGCAAAGGATGTGTGATACAGTTATTTTCTGTAATGCTTCACTCATTACACCACATAACACTAAGAGGAAACATGTATGCAGTAGCCAGTTACCAAAATTTAGACATAATCTGCACACTTTGTCCTGGCTTTTCCCTTAGAAACCTCTTCCCATTTCCTGACTAATAAACAGATACCTAAGCAGTTGCAGAGTCACTCCTCATACTATTTTTCTTATTTGTTGCAGTTGCTACTTACTGCTTGGTCTACTATGCTGTTAAGGATGTATTACTTGAACTTGCTTCCTTTACTGTGCTATTAAAACCACCAGAAGTTGCTAGCCTATACAGAACTGTCCTATCAATGAAGAGTAGAAAATCATCTGACAAAGAAGTTTTTTAGAAGGCACTTACCTGCAAACATCTGCGGAATTGCAAGGTCAGAGTAAGAAGCAGAAGGGATACACTTTCAGGCTTACAGCACTGCCATAAAATATGAAGGGTTTACTGATAGGATACGATCACTAGAACAAACTGAGTCTCTCAAAATGGATAGTGCCTCTGTCAGCACACAAGTGCACAAAGTCATTAGCTGTCCAAAATAGAAGTGGAGGTCAAAAAGGAAGAACAGCTAAATGAAGGACAAAATGAAAACTGGCTTCCAGAATACAAGGGCCTTATTTGAAACAGAACAGCTATCAGGAAGAATGGTAAAAGTAACTGTGAAGAAAAATATCTACAATGAGTGTTTACTTTTTGAAGGTTATTTTTAATGACAAGCCACATTCTATTTTTAGAATTGCTGTGTAAATTATCACATTTTTCCCCCTCTCTTTCCCCTAAAGCACTATCTTTTTGCATCTAGCATGTTTTGCTCTGTTTTGGGTTTCAGCTATGGAATTTTGTTTTAGATTTGGTTTGAGTTGGCAGGGGTGCTGTTCTTGTGAAATTGTTTTCATTTTGCATGATCACATGAACTTCCCTTTCTGGTTTGCATGGCTCTATTGCATAGCAACACTGAAATGGAGAAACACCTTTTTTGTGGTTTTCTTTTTTTAATAAGGAAATAAAACTAGGAAATCTGCAATTTACTTAAGTGTTTGGCCTTCAGGCTGCAATACTCATTTAAATTTAAAGAGCGAGAAATGAACTAACAGAAACTGCAATGAACAGAGCACACCAAAAGTTATAACCCTCCTTTAGTTCTGCTCCAGTTTGTAGCATCTAACAGAATCAATAAGTAAGTAAATGCAGCTTCTCAGCATTAGAAAAGCAATGCCTGCTGTTAGCCATGCAAAGACTGACCCCAAACTCACGAGGCAGAGAAACAAAACGCAAACACTATTCTCCCTCTGCTGCTGGAAAAACGAGCAGGCAGCTTCCTCCCTCCTGGCGCCTGGCCACACCACAGCCAGAGGCTGGAGCTGCAGAGCCCTGCACACACGCTGCCACCTCCGGGCAGGTACCCGAGCACGCAAGGGCAGGGAGGCCAGCAGAATAAAAATAACACTATAAAAACTCAACAGAAGGCAGCCTGGCACACTGCAGAGCCTCTCTAATTCAGAAATGGGCTTTGCGTAATAAAGCACGGAAAAATAAAAAAAGCGCAATTATTACCATGTCACTCAAAAACCAACCAAAGAACCCCCACATCCTAGATTCTTAGCATGCATAATGTCAATGCGTACGTTTTTATATACAAATTATTACAACACTGAAATTAGTGTTATTTCTTCAGGTACAGCCATAATTCTATTTTTAGTTATTTTTTAGCTTTACATGTAAATACAATAAAGATATGGTACTTTTTCAATTAAGCTTTAAGTACAAATTTAAGGCAAAAAAACCTTTTTTCTGCGGTAGAGGGTGAGAAGCAATGGAATAGGTTTTGTTTTTTTTAGCAAGTCTGATTGCTTTTAATTCCATATAGAACACTCATTTCAAATTGGAAAAAAACCCAAGATTAAAAGAGCCTTTTGGCTATGAAAGCTGAGGTTGATTAAAAACAGCCAACTTCAGCAGCCTGAAGAAAAAATGCTAGTTTCTATATAAAAATGTTCCACTTGCTTCTTTTGAACACTGTATTTATCCAGGGCTTTTCCAAGGGGAAATTTCCCCAGACTGGTTTGATTCCAGGCAAATTGGAGCTGCAAACACACTGACTTCTCATGTTCGGAAACTTCCCTGATCACCACCTTCTCCACAGTTCATTTGAGCCTCTGTTGGCCAGTACTCTAAATTTAGAAATATTAACATAGAAAGTTACCTTTCCCAACCATTCCCTCAACCCAGCCTCCATTTCATCTTCTAATCTCATCTCCCACACTTTCTCCTGCTCCATCCACAACATTTTACTAAAATTGTTCATGATGAGCAGCACTTGCCTGCTGATAAAGGGGTGACACAGGTGAGGGAACAGAAGATATGGAAACCCACCCTGCTGAACAAACATTGTGTGGGAGGACACAGGAACAGCAAGGTCTCTGTTTGCTCAGTCATAAAAAATGTAGTGCATAAGACAAGGGAAAAATCCAAACAACCAAACCACACATGGAAAGAGGGAGTGCCTTGAAGAAAATAAAGAACAACTACTGTCAAGTTCCTCTCCCCATTCCCAGTACTCAATCCCAGAGGACCACCTCAGAACTTTAAATAAAGACCTGAGGTTTTACTCCCACAGTGAACATTGCTATCATGCTTCACACTGCAAGCTATAAAGCAGCATTTTCATGCTACTTGGCAAAGCTAAAAGGGAACAGACCTGTTCGTAAAAGATTAAATCTGTGACAGACTTTGAACACGAATCTTGAAAATACAATTCTGTAAGATACAGCACAGAAGGACTACAACATGAGAAATTTAGAACAAAAATACAAATTCCATTGCCATAATGATGGCAGAAATACAGAAGAAAACTTCAAGGCTGCCAGAAAACTTCTGTTTCAAGGTGCAACAGCAATAAGCTCAGCCACTGCATTCACACCCATACCTGGAATTTATTTAGTGGCTGCCGTTCAGGCTCCAGCTATGCCATGGTACAATAATTTGAGGACAAAAAAGGACGAAAAACCATAACATTTATTAGTTCAAAATTATTTGTTTAATTATGCCCATTTCACAAGGATCACCGAGTAAAGTTAAACCCTTGGCCTTGACTCCTCCACAAGGTTAATTACCAGGATATAGTAGACAAAGCAGCCTGAAGCCATAAATTTCAGTACCTGCTCCGAGACTGATCCCTGATTGTGAAACCAGCAGAACAGAATTTATCACCTTACAATATGCTGTCGTTTTTCATCAGATATGAGCTCAGGCATCCAGCACTGTGCTTTTCCAAGACAAGGACAAACCACAGTCAGCACTGAACCAGCTAACTGCCATTTAGCAGCCTGAGCAAGATTAATCTTTGACTCATGCACTGCAGCATACAAGTCGTTCTCTCCTGTATCAGTTGTAATATTTTTCATCCTGATGGATAAATAGTCCTGTAATTTTGTTTTATCATTAAGTCTTCTGTGTATGTGACTCCTGTCTGGCCTTCCTTTCGCTATGAAAAAAACTAATTCAGTAGAATGGGTTTATCTTCCAACAAGGCTGAGTTCATGCCAGCCAAACCTCAGGAAAGCTCTTTTACACAGATCTTATCACTCATTGTTCACCTTTACAAACTTTTACTGGACCTCATCCAACAATGTATATTTAAGGAGTATTAACACATCATCTACTTCCTACAAAAAAAAGCTTCCTTAACAAAAAACACAAACCAACTCACAGCTCTGAATAGATGGTAGAACAAAAACAAACTCAAACATGAGTTTTTTCTAAAAACTACCAATTTGAATTGCTTGCTAGTAACTCAGGAGATCTGCCAGTTTTAATGATCTAATTCAATATAATAACTTTTTTATTACAGTAAATAATCTAGCACTTCTCCACCTGCTGGGGCAAGGGGGTGAGAAAGGTAGCACTTGGAAGCTTTAGTCAAAATAAAATAGAACTGAAGACATGCCACGTCCAACAAAGAAAAGCTGAATGGGAAGACACACCCATAAGCTACAACTGAGCTGTAAAAATATTACTAAGAACATTCCTGTAGCCTTTCCAGGGACAGAAGCCCTACATATATACTCAGGGCTTCAAACTTCAAAGAACGCAGTTGAGCTGCATGGACTTTCAAGATCTATATGCAGCAAAAACATTAGTTAATTCCAAGAGATCAGTTTCATTTTGGATCCCTATTCTGCCCTGATGCAAGTGCTTCCTTTTGTAGCACACTTTTTCAATACTCTTTCAAATATATAAAATACACAGTCAAAGCATTTATGACAATACACATCCCAAACAACAAAACAAGCAAGAAAAAAATAAAAAAAAACAAATTAAGGTTAACAGATGTTTGAAGAAGTAATGGAATGAGGTTGTTCTATTTCAAATTCATAACTTGTCACAGAAAATAATTTGTTGCAAAAAAAATATTACTATAAATAGTCTGAGCTATGTTCTCAAGTGACTAATGCCTCAGGGATTTATACTCATCCATTTTAAGTTCCACCAAGAAAGAATAAATTTTTACACCATTAAGGCAAGTCAGAAATGTAAATACCAATTACTCCATGAACTACAGCAATAGTGAAGTATTCAGCACCCTAAAATAATTACTAAAAAATATCTGATGGCTCATTTCACAGCAGCAGTTTTTAATTAGTCGCTGTGCCCGAGCCTGAAGCGCAGAGCCAAGGCGTGGCCCCACTGCAAAGGCAGAGGCAACAGGAACCAAAGGACGGCACAGGGTTTCCATCAGCTCTGCAGCTCTTTGGGCTGCAGAGAGGACCAGGCTGTTCCAGTGACAACGGCACAGTCGGGCACGCTGGCAGGAGCTGCACGGACATGCCCCACCTGCGACAGAGCCTCTCTGCTGACAGCCTCGGGACTCCCCCGGGAACAAGAGGTACAAAGACATCAGCCTGCTCTTAACAGCGATGACTTTCACACTTTCAGGACAGGGAAGGCTTACACATTCAGCTGTCCAGCAACACTGGGATGGTTACTACCCCTCAGTGAGCAAACCTGCACTCACCCCAGGCTACAAGAAAGTATTCATTTTCAGCTGACTACTTCTTTCCAGGAACAGAATTATTCAAGAACCAACTTAAAACAGTAAAATAGAGAGACAGGCATTTCAAAGCAACCATAAACAAGGAATGTGAAAAGAAAGCAAGACTATAGCCTTCAAATCTAGACTGCACTTGAGATCAGCAAGCTTTAGTTCTCAAAGTTTACTACTGAGTAGTGTTTTTCCCCCTAAAGCCTAACATTTGTAAAATGCATTTATTCTCCTAGCTAATAGAAAACCAAGTATTTTTAAAACACTGCCAAGCATAGCAAACAACCAGTTATTTTGACTATAGATAAGTACACTGTTTACTGAATAACTGCAAATTCCCAAGCTTAAAGTTGTTATCTCTACCAATAATAAAATAAATATTCACTTTGTCTGCTTCAGGCAACTTAAGCATTTAATTCAGAGCAACTTACTAGGCCAAAGTCCAAAATCAGACATGTCTTTCTAGCCAAGCCAGAGGTCTTTGGGGCGCAGGAATTAATTATAGCAAGTATCACTTCACATATATATTGACTATAGTAAAGTTTAGCACAAACAAGAGACCTTCAGAAGCATTAAAACTCATCTTTAATATGGAACTGATGTATTGGACAGTTCTTAAGCTCACAAGAAGTTAAGATCTAGAAGACTGAATTGGAAGCCCACCTCTCCTACTGGTGAAAACTTTCCCAACACCCTCAAAAAAAACCCTCACCACCCACACTTTGCAAAAAAAAAAAAAAAAGAAAAAAAAGAAAACACACAAAAAACCCCCAAACCAAAACAAAAACAACAAAAAAACCCAAGCAAAATAAGGCTTTTTACCTTCCCTTACCAATTAAGATAGCATACTTTCTCTCAAACAGACAGCACAGAAGGGAAAAAAGGAAGCAACATTTGGGAAGAACTTGTTTCCCTTTCTTTGGAGGTCTTAGACAAGACCATTGCTACTGACCAGACCTGACATGCACTGCACGGGGAACAGCCAGGTAGTGGAGCTGGGTGGGGCTGTGTTTGATTTATTCAGTTGCCATAATCTAAGGACTGGAACTGGTCCACATTCAGCATTGTGACAGCTGAACAGTATGGTTACAATTGCACACATACAAACAAAAAACTAGTTGACAAGCAGGAATCACATAAGAATGGGACAGAACTGTCTCTTAGAAGGGCACCACTGAGTCCCAGCTCTGTCCCATAACTGATTCCAGGTCTACCCCATTCAGGATCTAACTTCTTATCAAGATTGTCTAGTGAGTGCTGACAAAATCTGGAACAAATACAGAGTAACAATAGAAGCAATACACAGTAAATACCTACTGCTGTTCTTAGGTTTGCTTATCTACTTGACATTCTTCCCAGCTTGGGGAATTGAGAAGGAAATTCAGCATTTTTATCAACCACACCTGCTTTCAAATACACTGGCAAAAGTAAAGGGACAACACAAGTTTCAAATAGGTGACAGTGCTGCTCACTGAGGGATAAGCATGCAGCCTTTTACTTTCCTTTTCCATAAAAAGTCTTTTGCTACCTTCAAAAGAAACTCAAAACAAAACACACTGCATACAGCCAACAAGGCCCTCTCCTTATCTCCAAGAGTTTACATAAAACACTTAAAAATATATACAATAAGAAACATGGTACAAGGTAGTAAAGATAAATGTATGTAACAAGGCCCTGTCCTTATCTCCAATAGTTTACATAAAACACTTGAAAAATATATACAATAAGAAACATGGTACAAGGTAGTAAAGATAAATGTATGAAATAAACAAAAGAAATAACATTGGTACCATTACTCAGTTGAGTATTTAATGTAATGGAATCCTCCAACCACGATTTGAAGCTGACAGAGAAGTTTCTACAAATTATTATATAGAGGCTTGGCTAAAAATAACTGAAATTTTCAGTTTGTTCAAAAGCCCTTGTATTTCTGTAGTCACAATTATATAATCTGCTGTTTTCAATGATATCACTGCTTCAACTAGTTTTTGGTTTGTTGGTGTTTTTGTTTTTTTTGTTTTTTTTTTTATATACTTCCATTGCTATCACAGAACTAGAATTAGGTTGGCTCTATCTTGGCTCTGATTAATGTAGTGCTATTGAGCAGACCCTATGGAAGCTCCATCTTCCAAAACTTGCTAGAGGTCTAGCAAACAGCATCTCCTGTAATCTTCAAATCAGACAAACTTCTTGGCTTGATTTTTTTATAGCACATCAGGTTCTGTATTTTAAGTTGTTATCTAACTCTATGTCTTTAAAATTCTGACTACATCTATAAACACCCCTATGAAAGAGCTTCATCCCCCTGCTGGTTTTGTTATGTTTTTAGTGACTTTTGACATTTCACAGTTCTCAGTCTAACAATTCAAAACTGGGGACTACAAATAATAAGCTAAAGAAGTGACAAGTTATATGAATGAATGTGACGGCTACTCCAGAAATTTTAAGTACAGCCAGACATTTTGGTCCCCGATCTTATACTAAGGTCAGGCAAGAGAAAGGAACAAAAATATCATAAGTATTGTTGACATAAAATCATTAGGCCCTCGACAGAAATGTACTGGGGACAGGGTTACAGGCAAACACATAAGCAGTTCAAGTTATCTGCTGCATCAGTGGGAGGAGAGTGGTCCACATGACTCTTACAGCAACTCAAAATACAGGAAATTAGATAAATAGCCAAGCTATGGGGAAAGCATTCATACACTCAGGCTTTACAGCAACCATACACTTGCACTGGTTTTGTATTGTTTCTGATGTTTCCCTGGGTGCTCCAGTAAAGCACTGACTCACTCCACAGAAAATAACTGTATGCTGGGGGAGGTATCAGGGAATGAACCTCCCACGTCCGACAGCAGCTGGGCTTTCAGGCATAACCCTCATAATCGGCTCCTTCATCAAAACACATAGCACCAGCACTTGTCTGTTCTCTCTCCACACCTTCTGCCCCAGTGCCATCTGTCCCCGTTCTAGGCTCACATGCCTTCCATGCTTCTGCCCCTCCCTTCAGAACGTTATTTCTCGACAGTTCCTCCTTAACAGGAAGAAGCTTCCCGGAACTACTATAAATATATTTAAAAAGAAAAATATATCTCACAGAAGTATTCCCTTACAGAAGCAGGATGGGGACAAGAAGGAACTGCTTTTCTGAATACGGAGGTACGTGTGCTGTGTTCTGTCACACATACAGCTACAGCATAGCAAGAGTTTGAAGAGTTTCCCTTTTAAGACAACTAAAGTGACTTCAAAACACTTAGGCATCTTAAAGACATTCGAAGTACATATGGTATAGGAAAAGGTAAAGTATACTACAAGGAGTTTAGAGAAAGGGGCCTTCGGGGATAGGAAAAAGCACTGCGTAACGGCCAGCCTACCATCTTAGGCTGCTTTCTCCCGACAACTGTACACATTCAAATTATAAACTCAAGATAAATTACGGACACAGGCAAAGGACCGAACTGCAACTACAACACCAAAACATGCCTCTCCTCTGAAACCACATTTCCCCAGGAAACAGGCGTTGCTTCCTCCCAGCGGCGGAGCCGCCGCAAGCTCCGAGCTCCCCCTGCCAGCCCTGGAGCCGCTGCCGTCACCCCGCAGGCTCCGGCAGCCCCAGGATCCCGTCCTTGCGGGGACACGGGCCCGGCCCACAGCCCCGCCCGGCCCCGCCGCACCGGGCGGCCCCGGCCCCTCGCCCCCGTCCCGTTCCGGGGTCGCGCCTACCGAGGGTCCTGTGGAGCCGCTGCCACCGCCGCCCGTCCCAGGTGCTCGCCGGCGCTGCAGGGCGGTGCCGGGGAGAGGCAGGAGGAGGAGCCGCTGCAGCCCGGCTCACTCGGCCCGCCCCGCCGCGGCCTCGGTGCGAGGGAGGGCCGGGGCCGGCCGGTGCGAGACCTGCCGGGCGCGGTGAGCTCCGGGGGACAGCCCCGCACCGGCCTGCACCGGCCGCGGGGGGAAACCGCACAACAGGTTTGACCACAGGCGGCTTCAGCGAGAGGCCCATTGTATAAAAAACAAAAGACAGGGTAAGAAAGGGAGCTCCACCCGTGACGTGCGCAGCCTGGCATTCCCCAAGAGCGCAGCGTCGCCTGAGGGACCGGGTGACCTGGACACGGCGAAGGCAAATCCTGGAAGCTGCGAGTCAACTCGAGGTTGTAAGCGTTCAGCACAACATCGGATTAAAACCCAAAACCACCCCTGACTGTTCTCACCAGGAAACTTCAGAAAACATGCTTTCCAAACAGGGTGGGAGAGAAAACCCCCATTTTGTACAAAACATACTTTTCCTTAAGTAAAATTCCACAAAAAAAAAAAAAAAAAAAAAAATCAAGAGGAAGGAGGTTGTTCATGTCAACTTTTTCTAGCACAAGCAGTAATAGATAAAGGCTTCAATAAAGTAGTTTTTCCCCTACATGCATTCTTTAAAGATGAGTGAAGTTGCTCACATGGAAGCATTTAGAGAGACAAACCAAGATAATAAAAAGGAAAAATAAAAAGGGCTAGCATTTTCCAATTATATTTCTTTTGCCAAGACACTAATCAAAATAGCAAACACAGCATTACCTAACTGAATCACAGCATTATACAACTTGGGTGGGGAATGAACTTGACTTTGCAGCTGGGAATTTTGTGAACAGGGTCCAGAACCTCCTTTCCAACACTTGCTTCTCTGAAGTGCATGCTTTGTAACAGGCAATTTTATTTACAATGAAACTAATCTGGATAGATGTGTTCACACTTCTTAAAGCATCCTGTTCAACCACCAATAGCTCTTTGTGGAGGACCTGAGCTGCTTCTCCTCCATACAACTTTCACATACCACAATGTCCAATCTTGGAAATACAACAGCTGTGATTGAACTAAAGAAAAGAAATTGCCATTTTTCCCTCTCCCTCATCAAAATTTTAATTGGTACTGTAGAGGCCAAGGCTGCACTCATGGGAAACAGCTACATTTAAAGTAGTCTAAACCAGGTGAATAGCTATATTTGAATATAAGAACAGTTGTGGTGGTTTAACCCAGCCAGCAACCAAGCCCCACACAGCCTCTCTTCCTCCCTGGCCAGTAAGATCAGGGAGAGAATGAGAGAGGTAAAAGCCAGAAATCTTGTGTGTCGAGATAAAGATAGTCTAATAGGAAAAGCAAAAGCCATGCACATAGACAAAGAAAAAGCAATTAATTCTCCACTTCCCATGGGCAGGCAGATATTCAGTCATCTCCAGGACAACAAGACTCCACCACACATAACAGTTACTTGGAAAGATAAATGCCATCATTCCAAATATCCCCCGTTTTCATAGACTGAGCACAACAACATATGGTGTGGAAAATCCCTTGGGGTCAGATGGGATCAGCTGTGTCCCTGCCCACCTTTTTGTGCACCCCCAGTCTCCTCACTGGCGGGGTGAGAAGCAGAAAGGCCTCAGCTCTGTGCAAGCCCTGCTCAGCAATAACAAAAACATCTCTGTATTACCACTACTATCTTCAGCACAAATCCAAAACATAGTTCTCCACTAGCCACTGTGAAGAAGATACAATTTATCTCAGTCAAAACCAGCACATTAGCTTATTGTGGTTTAGCACAAATTATACATTATCTTAAGATATCTTAAGCTTCACTGATAAAGGCATTTCTCATTAATAGGCAAAGCGAAACATCAGCACAGGTTCTGATGCAGAGTGCAGGCTGATGTTCACTGTGCAGGCAGATGGAGAAATGAAGATGTGCCCGAAGTAGCTCAGGTGGAAAAAAGGCCAGGGATCTTTGTCCTCTGAGTCTGCTGGTATTGCTTCTCTTGGGAGTTAAGCTCCTCTCACCTGTCAGCCACAAGGGGCCACATGAGCTCTAACACCGGAGTTCTGTTAACCAGAGGAACTTTGAAACAGGTTAGGAGCCATTCAGACGAGTTGCTGCTCCCATCAGATGAGGACACAGCAACTTCTACAAAGCATTATTTCTTCTTCCAGCAGGATTTGGAAAAAAACCCAACCTCATATTTCTACAACTTTAGTACTGCTATTTTTTCATGTAGAAAAGCCCTTTGAGTGTCAATGCCTAGGCTGGAGGGGGTGTATGAGGAAGCTTGTACTGCTGCGACCAGCCTGGTATTCATTCCAGACCAGGCTGTGCTCACTTTGAAGCCAATTGCAATCCTCCATGGGTTTAACCAAGGTCTAGATTTGGCTTACTTCTATGAATCCCTCTATTTATCCAGGCTCAGTGACTGGAAGTCTCACACCTTTGATGCTCCATTCATAAACAGAAAACTGGACTAGCTGTGGTAGCATATGGAATATTCTTCTAACAAAGAAATCATTGTATGGAAACCTACTACCTGCCGTTTTCAGACAGTCAGGGACTGAGACATTTGCTTGACATACTTTATTTCTGGAAATTTTTCCACAGGAATGATAACCTCTGAGCCCATGCTTTTTGCGACCTCTGGCTGGAGTAAAACCCTTTTCTTGCAAAAACTGCTACAGACACCACATGTACTTGTCAGCATCTACTTAAAGTTCCAGGAGTTTTAATATCTTTTTACTTCCCAACCCCTTGGGTTTTAATATTTAAGCTGATATTTAACCAGGACAGAACCCCAAAGTGCCACGGGCTCTGCAATTGAACAGAGGTTTACTTTTACTTATATAAAAAACCTGTCACTCTGTATTGGCATTTCAAACCAAATTCATACAGACAGTGATGCCACAGTCAGAAATGAAGCAGAAACAAGGCCTAGAATCCTTGGTGTTGGGATAGTGGGAGTTTGCCTGTCATCTCAAGCACAACCCTCAAGTACCAGTCAGCACGAGGTACATTTTTGGGAGTTCTAGCCTGGAACCCAAATGGTCCAGGTTACCCCAGAGGTTTCCTGCATGAAATTGATCAGGTTCAGATCTCTCAAGGTGCACATGCATACAGCCTACATTCATTTTGAGCCCTAAGGAACCTATATACATAATTTGTAACTCACTCTCTTATGAGAAAGGGTGTTGTCTCACAGTCGTGCTGGGTTGTAGTTCACTTTTTTTACAGTCCTTTTGGCTGATGAAGATTTTAGAAAGGCATTTGCCTAAATCCTTCCACTCTGCTTTAGCCACAAAAGATATTTATCTTCCCTCCTTGCTTTTTTTACTGCACCTGAGCATTCTGTAGGTTTTATACTTACTTTTTTTTTTTTTTTTTTTGCACATGGTTTCTAACTCAGCCAGCTTGCAACTCTTCTATGCACCTGTTTTTCTTCTTCATAACTGGGCCTTTAGTTAAACTAGATCCCTGCAAGACAATATTATGTATTTGGATTTGCCTGCCCTGCTTGTTCCTCAACAGGTTCTTTGTATGTGCCAGCGTATTAGACTTGAAGATAACAAGCATTTGATGGCAACAGCATTATCCTCAATCTGTGTTACACTCCTGAGAAAATTTTACTGCTTAAAATCCATTGCTCAGAGGCAGGCTTAGCTGAAATTACTTCTGCACTCCAGCTTTGTTTCCTCAGTGCATTTTTGTTGCAATAGGCGACTGCAATGTTTTATGTCTGCTCTGCCACTAGTCTGGAATAAAGGTAATACAGCCTAGGGCTCAACTTGCTGTATGCTGAGGAATGCAACACTACATCCATTTCACAACTGGGCCAAAACTTGTGATGGTCTGTACAAACTATGTTATCTAACTAACTGCCTTAAACCTGGGTAGGTCTGTAGCATAAAACACTTTTGTCAAATTATTTTCTTGCATGTATCTTGCATTTTCCCCCAAACCATCTTGCTGTGAGCTTTGATCTGTGAGGCTGTCAATCTGAGCATCTTCCACTGTTACTGAAAGCATTCCAATTAAGTTAAGAGTGAATTGGATTGTTGTGCATGCATTTGTATGTAAACCATTACCCTTCACATGCAGCAGAATATAGCCTTGAAATAAATATTTTCATCAAGGAGTAACAGATGGAAGTGCTTTTGTTTCCATTTTGTATTAGCAGAAACTTCTCATTAAACTCTTGAAGCGTTACAATTGGACAGCTCCGTGTTTTCCTGCTTGGTGGGCATAGCCTGGCTGACTTTGGTGGGCTGACACTTCACCACATACACTCATAGAAGTCACGAGTTCACGCCTTTACAGATCATACTTTCTACCATTTGTTTAGATTTTTTGCTTCGCATTGTGTCTTGTGTAAAATTGAATTCTGAACTCCAATCAATATTTAATTCGAAGTAACAGAGTTAGCCAACAGGAAAAGCAACTCACAGAAACAGACTGAGCACACACTTCTCTTACAGAGTTTAAGCTCCCAGTATGGGGAAACAGATAAATATCTGCTAGTATTTTTAAGCACTGCTGAATGCAACTCAGTTGGTTGACTGGGAGCCCCATCTGAATACATTCTGGATGAGCCATTCATCCCTATGTGTCAGCTGCCACAACTTGTAATACCATTCTGTGCTGATTGCATCATTATTGTAAATGACGTCCCAGCCCCACAAAGTTTCTGGGTGGAACTTAATATGAATAAATACCTACCTATTTTTTTCCCCTCCAGGAAGCAGAGAGCAAAGCAACTCGGGCATTCAGCAGCGTCAAAGAGTTTTTAAGCTATTAAGAGAAGACATTATTGTAGGGTTAAGCAGAAAGTTTTATTAAAGAGTGATTTAACAATGATGATTAAACAGTTACTAAACAATGACAACAAGGTGGTCAAACACTCTACTACTTACCACACTTCTAATAATTAATCTAGCTTGTGTAGAGGGTGCTTTAGATTTAACATAAAGTGTCATGTACCTTGCGGTAGATTCCAGATGCCAGGCAAGGGATCTCTTGGCCTTGAGGAGCTGCCTTGGGAGGCACCCCTGCTCAAGGGGAGATCACCACTGTGCAGC